ACATCTCCCCCTCCCCGACCGTGTCTGGGCTCGGTCGAAACCCACATCTCTCCTCAGTCCTCACCCACGCATGCCACCACGTCACCCTAGGCCCCACAGCCGCTTGATTTTAAATTGTTCATTTTCTTTTGCCACCTACAGTCACCACATCCGGTTCCGCGGTAAGGAGATTGAATAAAAAAATCACTAAAAGAACTTCTGGAAACAGGACACCAGGATAAAACTCGGTTATTTTTAGCGTACCCGGTCTACACTGGGAGTGTATATAGATGGCCAACGGGCTGGCCCGGCACGAGCCCGTGCCAGGCCCGGCCCGATGGAGTCGGGCTGGCACGACACGCCGTGCCTCCCGGGCCATGCCGAGCTGGGCTTCGTGCCTGGCCGACGGCCTAGGCACGGCCTGCTGGGCTGTTTTTCGTGCCGGGCCAGCCCGGTAAGCATGGCTTGTGAAGCCTCTCGGGCCGGCCCAAGGCCCGCTTGGCAAGGGGAGGCAGCGCCCTCGCGGCTGGCGGCCCGGCGCCCCGCGGTCGTCGCTTTCAAGGGCGGCGAGCCTGTGGCCGTGGATGAGAGGGAGGAAGAGAGGAGAGAAGGGGAAGGAGATGACGAGCAGCGTGCTCCACGCGGCCGTAGCCAGGCGCGAACGCGCGACCTCCACGCGCAGGGCACGGTCGCTGCCGGTCTGCCCAGCCAAGCCGCCTCCGCAACTGGCCGCTGTCGTGGAGGAGGAGCGAGATCTGGTGGATTCGGAGAGAGAGCAGGGGCCGCCGGCAGCGTGGAGGAGACGAGGAGGTCGTCGGTGCTCGAGGCCGCTCCGCTCGAAGCCGCCGCTGGGAGGGCGCGGAGGAAGAGGCCGAGGGGGCTGCCAGCAGCGTGGAAGACGACGCGGATGGGGCCGGCTGTGGCGTGGAGGACGACACGGACGGGGCCGCGTGGACGAGGCGAGCGGGCTGAGCGCGACGCCTACGTGGGGTGGGTGGGGGAGGGGGTTGCGCGCAGGCGAGCACGAGCATAGAGAGCGAAGGGAGTGCGACGGCTGGGGGCTGAGGGGAGGGGGAAATGAAGTTAGGGTTGCTGCTGGCCTGTTGGGTGCTGCTACTGCCGTCGTCCACGTGAGCGGGCCGCCACCGGGCCGTACGCTGTGGAGCGGGCCGTGCCGTGCCGGCCCATGTGCCTGGGGTAAGGCCCAGGCATGGCCTACTCCTCCGGGCCGGGCAAAAAAACGGGCCTCGTGCCATGCCGACGGGCTCAGGCTGCATGGCGAAGTGTACGGCCAGACCGCTGTGTACAGTATAAGCATGCAACTAGAAAGCATGCATGGCAGGTGGCCAGCGCAGCACAAGGGTGGGCAGGCACGTCGCTCCCGACGCGAACCTTCACCGCTCCAACCTACTGTACTAAATACGCAGCCTGCAGCACCGTAGACAGTACTGCCACTGGTCCTGCAAGAACGTACACTAGCTAGCTACTACTCAAACCAGTAGAATCTGCAGTCTGCATCGTCGTTGTCTGTGCGAGTACGTACACGACGTCCGATGGCGCACAGCAAGCGCGAGATCAAGCCCGGGAGGGCGCACACCAAGGTGTCCGGCGACGTCGAGATGCTGCGGACGGGCTTCTACGACGGCACCCCGCTGGAGGGCGGCAAGATCGCCGACTCCCAGCCCGTCGACCTCTTCGCCGCCGCCCGACGCGTCGCCGAAGCCGACGCCGACGCCGTCCCGTATTATCACTCGCAGCAGCATCAGAAGGAACAAGAAGCAGCAGGCGAGGGGACGACGACACTACTGCAAACTCGAATTGTCATGTGGATAACGAATTTTTTTATGCGTTTTTTTTTTGTACGCACACAAAAATTACGATTATTCTATCGGTTCCAAAATATCCCAACAGAAAAATACGAAAACCCACAGGATAATTATATGATTTTTCTGTGCGTGACAATACACACACGAAAAAATTAGCACTCACAAAAAAATGCAATTTATTCTATCGATTCTTTAAAAACGTACATAAAAAATATATGCACGCACAGAAAAAAAAAATATACACGCATTGGATAAATAAAAAAACAAACAAGTCCCAACCCTAACCCGCCGGCCGCCGCCCCCAAACACCCTCGCATGCACGCACTCGCGGACTAGCCTGCTTGGCTCTCCTCACGCACGCATGCACACACTGCGCCGCCGCCGCAGCTACGCATGCCCGCCCGCCCCGCCGCCTTCTTCTTCCCCGGCGGGCTGCCGCCCATCCCCTCCCCCTTCTTCACCCGGCCCCAGCGCCCCTCCTCCCGCGTCGGCGCCCCGCGCCTCCCCCTTCTTCATCCCGAGGCGGCCACCCCTCCCCTTCCCCTTCTTCACCCGGCCAGATCCGGCCCTCCCTCTCCGGATCGGCGGTGGGCTCAGTGGTGGTGGTGGTATTAGCCGGCGGCGGGGCGTGGTGGTGGCGGCGGCCCTCCCTTTCCCCTTCTTCTCCCCCGTCGGCGCCCCTCCCCTCCCCTTCTTCTTCCTCGCGGGTGCCCTCCCTCCCCTTATTCACCCGGCCGGATCTGGCCTCCCTCTCCCGGATCCGGCCGATGGCGTCTTGGCCGGCGCCTCCCTCCTCCTCCCCGGCCGGCCGGCCCCTCCCTTCCTCTCTTCCCGGCCCCTCCTCACGGGCGGGCGCCCCCCCCAGATCTGCCGCCTGCCCCCTCCCTCCCTCACCGGCGGCGGCACCTCCCGGATCCACGCCCGCCCTCCTCCCCTCACCGGGTGGCGTCCCTCCCCCGGATCTGCCGCCCCGCCCCTCCCCTCCCTCACCGGCGACGCCCTCCTCCGGATCCGCTCCCCCTCCCTCCCCTCCCTCACCAGCGGCGCCACTCCCCGGGATCCGCAAGGAGGCCTAAGCACGCGGCGCGGGCGTGGTGGCGGCGGGCTGGTGTGTGCGTGAGGGCGCGACAGGCGTCTTGTGAGAGCAAGAGAGTCTTCGCGCGTGCGTGGGGCGCGAGCCACGGCGGCCGCTAGGTGCAAGAAGGTTGCGGCATCACGTGGGGAAGCAGGGCGCGGGTGGCAGCAGGCTGCGGCGGCGCGTGGGGTCGTTGGGTGCACCGCTAGCGGGCCAAGAACGCTCAGATATCCTACATCAAGAACGCCGCCGTCTCCCCTGTGTCTCCCTCGTCTTCTTCGCTCCGTCCTGGCCGCCAAGAACTCCTCCACCGACAACCTCCTGGCTGGCTTCGTCCCCGGTGACCGCTCTCTCCCCGGCCATAGAGAAGGTCGTGACCGACGACTCCATCCCCCGCAGCCAGGTGATTTCTCTTCTCTTTCAGTTTCCTCCTATCCTCTGCCATGTCGACTGATGCTTGCTTGTTCACTTATTCCCTAGATTCCCAAGGTTAAAATCTGTTATTTGGGTGTGCAGGACCACATATCCGCTTCCCCTCATTCTTTTCCCCATGATCTGCTCAATGTCTGGCTTCCAAGTGCTCCTGTGTGGTAAAAGAAAATGAATAGATCCCCTCGTTTCCTCTCTCACTAGAAGTCAACATTGCATACTTGTCAATGATATCACATCAGTTAATTTGAGCATACTTGTTACTGCCAATGATGTTTTGGAAAAGCTATATTACGATGTTTATTTGCTTCCTTTTTAACTAAGGCATGGGAATTATATTGTGATTCTTATTTACTTTCTTATTTGCTGAGGCTTTGGGAATTATGCTATGATGAATTACATTTTCCCTATAAACGAGGCTTTGTGCATATGCAGTGGGCCGAGGCTTTCTTATTTGCTGAGGTTCATTTGTTCTTTTCTTTGGCTGCTATTTTTGGCTCAGATTTCAGAACTGTTGCTATGTGGTTTCACTTCTCCACGTAGCTGCGCAATGCATTTGATTGCATCGACAAAACTGAGTGAGGAGTAAGAATCACAAGGTCCTTGATTTAGAGGTTTGTGACTTGCTTCCTGCCACATTTGTAACAACGAATTTTTTAGTGCATAGTATACAGATTGCTACGTTCAGAAAATTCAGATTCATGTCATACTTAAAATTTATTCACTATTTTGTTGGATGATATGCTACGCCTGATAAAATTATTCTTTTGGCAATATGGTGACCAGCTGCTACCTCGGACAAAAATGGCAGTGGAAAATCTAATCAACGCTGCCTTTCATTTTCACCTTCTAATTGATATTTCAATGCTTCATCGCATTACTGCTTCTATTGAGATATTTTGCTATTTTTCATATGGATCAATTTTTACAGGAATCTCTTTATAGGAAATTATAATAGTTCAGTTTCGGTGTCCATGGGTATGTTGTGATGTTGGACCTATCTTTTTTTTTTTACCTGGTGCTTTTTGTGCTGCTGCTCTCCTAGGCTGGGAAAATACTATAGTTCAAATCTGCAGTCCCTCTCATCGAGCGCTACCTTTGAGTTCTTTAGGTTCAAAATTCTAATGTACTTCTTTACAGACAATACTGAGTGTATCTGCCGTCTGAAACTTGGTTGTTTTTCCACATTTCAATTATTGATTTTTTGGCTTCCAAAGTGCCTGTTCTGTTTGTTTTCTCATGCAGACTTTAGGCTGAGTGCAATATGTTCTATATTTTTACCTTCTCCTTACATGTCTACATTTGAATTTTTCCTCTTGCCGATTCTGATCACCTCATGTTCTATAGTTTAGTTTTGGGGCAGTTTGGCACACACCCCTCCCTCTTGCCGATTCTGATCACCTCATCTTTCAGGTAACACATCCTCATACAAAGACATAACAAATTTTAGTTGCCATGGCCACCTTGTAGCCAAATTAGATCCAGAATATTTGTTCTTGTTGGTTTAGTACAGTCTGGATTTTACATTAATAGGTTGCAGCTACACTGAAATTATCATTGCCTTACTATGATTTTATGTGCAGTAGCAGTCTAGAGGTGCAGCGAGGTGCCTTACTATGAGCAACACCAAGAGGTTAACAGCAGTTTAAGGCATTGCAACATTTTTCAGTAGCAGGAGTAGCAGTAGCAGTCTAGAGGTGCAGCGAGGTGTCGACGTCGACTTCACCAGAGACATGTTTGTAGTTGTAGGTCTTACTGGGCCACAGCTCCACCACGATGGAGTTGCTATCGCCGTGGAGCTGGAAGCTTTTACATTCACTGACAGTGGTTGGCACGGACAGGAATAAGGAGGCGGCGGCGACAGCGGCAGTGGTGTCACGCAGCGGCCTGCACGGGTAGAGCAGCTCCGGGTGGAAGAACCACTTCACGGGCATCTCCCTCGGGGAGGCGGTGGCCACAGGGCGGGGGGCGAGCACGTGGAGAAGCCTCTCCTCCCGCTTCTCCCTGATCCTCTCCAGCTCCCTAAACCTCTACTGTAGCAGGGTGATGGAGGAGAACATCACCTGGCCTTCGCTGCTCTGCACCCCCATGATTACTGAGGAGAGGGAAACTGAAGTAGTGAAATTCATGAACTGCTGAGATGAGATGGTAATGCTTTTGAATGTATTGATGCCGGAACATTTGGACATCATCTACATATAGCCTGGATGCTACGAATGAATGTGCTGAACATTTAGACTCCATCTTTATATGTTATGATGAAATTACTGTATGGACAGTCCATATTTTAATATACTGTTGCCACTATTTCTAAATAATTATTGTATCCAATTTGCTGCATGGGTAAGTGTATATTATTCTGTCGGTGGTCTGTTAACACCTGACAGAAAAATATAATTTTTCTGTGTGTTCACCTAACCCGACAGAAAAATATAATTTTTTCCTGTGAGTGCACCTTTGCAACTCTGACGGGACAACACTAACAGAAAAATGATTTTTCTGTCGGGTTTTTATTTTTTCTATGAGGAATAATGCACAGAAATTTTATTTTTAATCTATCCGAACACAATTTTTCTGTGCGTGTAACGCCCACAGAAAAATTGTTTCTGACGATGAACACACAGAATAATTGAATTTTTCTGTCATTATAAATATTTTTCTGACGGTATTCTCATTTTTCTGTGTGTTTTCGCACACACAGAAGAATGTGAGTTTCTAGTAGTGCGACCAACAAGAAGAACGTCATCGCGAAGTCGGAGCCCGTCGACCTGCCCGCGAGCACTGCACACGGGGCATGGCGGAGGCTAACCCTGCTGCGACGACGGCGACGGACCAGCCAGGCCGCCGGCAGGGCGTGGCCGAGCCCGCCGCCGGTGGACGTCGCTTGGGAGTGGGACGCACGGCTTATTAACAAGTGGTCGATTTGATTACCAGCGCTACTCTACCACCGTACCACTGCAGTACCTGCTCTGCTAGTGTCTTGTTTCCATTTTCTTTCTATATATATAGGCAGGTTTTATTTGCCAAACTTTTATACGTTCAGTGTGCGGTACTGTGATGAACTATGTACAAAAAGAATAAAATAAAGGCCTCCCACTACTGAAAACTCAAATTCTTCTGTGTGTGCAAAAACCACGGAAAAATATGAATACCCATGGAAAAATATTTTTCTGACGGTGTACCGTCAGAAAATGACCTACAGAAATAAAATGACAGAAAAAATGAATTTTTCCGTGGGTTCGTCGTCAGAAACAATTTTCCTGTGGGTCTCACACGCACAGAAAAATTGCGTTCGCCCAGATTAAAAATAATTTTTTCGTGTGTTAATCCTCACTGATAAAAAGAAAAACTGACAAAAAAATGATTTTTTCTGTGCGTTTGTCCTGTCAGAGGTGCACTCACAGAAAAATTGTAATTTTCTATCGGTTAAAAGTGAACGCACAGAAAAATTAGGGCGTTAACGGACCACCGATAGAATAAATACACTTACCCATGTAGCAAATTGGATACAATAATTATATACAAACAGTAGCAACAACATATTAAAATATGGACTGTCCATACAGTAATTTCATCACAACGTAATAAATAGCATACATATAAAGATCCAAATGTTTAGCACATTCATTCATAGCATCCGGGCTACATATAGATGATGTCCAAATGGTCCGACATCAATACATTCAAAAGCATTACCATCTCAACTCAGCAGTTCAAGTCTCAGCCAAGATGAATAAAATACCAGCATGCATCATTGACTCATATTATAGCTAAAACTAAAGCTAATATATTAGAGCCATCTACTACTTAATGTGCAAAAGAACAACTCTACAAAAGAAGAAACCACCACCATATCCATGTTTTGCAACTAAACACAACCATCACATTATCGATGCATGATCTCCATTGTTGTCGGAACCTTGATTGTTGCCAACGTTTGCAGCATGAAGATCTCCATTGGTGTGTCCAACATCATTAGCATTGTTGGCAGATTCTGAGGTAGCATGAGAAGAACTAGTTGCCTGAATGTGAACAAAGTTATAACAGTAAGTGGAATTGTCTCCCAATAATATAACATTTTTAGCAAAGCCTCTAAATTTGAAGCGAAGTCATTTGAATGTGGTACCATGAATTAGACAAGGTTTAAAGTATTAACTGTTGGTTTTCAAGGTGTGAAACATTACAGACCAACATAAGGCCACTTTCTTACTGCAATAGCCATGCAAATTCACGGGAGTAGCTATACAACAATCAACATGAGGCAACTTTCTCACTGTTGCACTATGTGTTGCATTCTGAATAGTACCCCACAAAATACTAATTAGTTTCTACTTCCTTTTCGTCTTAAAATCTTTAAGTGATGGATCTGACAGCTACAAAACATGTTGATAGCGGAATGAAGATATACTCACAATTGCTTGCGTAGCGGACAAGCGTCGTAACGCTTCTTCTGGTACAACCCTTCCTGAGTCCTGATAAAGTTTCTACAAGTGCATTGCAAGCATAGATATTTCAGATTCAAATCATTAGATAATTCACATATAATATTAGGGATGTATTTACAGGAGCAGTGCACATACCAGTACCAAGTCTACAAGAACTTTGTTTTGCTCAAGTGTGTTGTCCTTTTCACGATTCTCTTGCTCTAGCCTTCCATTTGCACGACGTAGTTGTTCCATTTCGTGAGACATGTTTTGCATAGTCATTGAATTTGATGGACGCACACTTCTTTCCCTTCCGGCTGCCCTGACATCTGAAGACTTAACCACACCATTTGCTATGGCATGACGCCCATGCTTTCTCGGGCCACCACTAGACACATCATATAGTGCCTTCCCATTCAAATATTGCTACTGCTCAGCCTCATGCCCATCCACTTCCATGTCTGCAGCGTCTCCATCCTCTTCGTTTGCACATTCTATCCTCTTAACAGCAGCAAGGTAGTCATCCTACAAAGACCAGATCAAGGAAACATGTTCTACAGATGTATAGATAGCCAAAACGTGCTATCGAAGTATTCTGAAATTTCTGGACAGCAGCAAGATAGTCACTAAAATAAATCATAACTAGAGTTCTAGATCATAGAAAATTATGTTCTTTAATACTTTGGAAAGCTTAAGAAGTTCTCCACATCTTTCTAGTTATAACATAGACCTGATTCTTAAGTTAACAGGGTGAAAAAGCACAAAGAAGCATTGCTGCGCAGATATGAACATAACCTGACAGGAACCTTCAGAAAATTGTAACTCCCAAACCTGATGACCTGAAGTCATGAAATTTTAGGACAGTGAAGATACTTGAATTATCTACAACTTTTGTATTAACAAGTTCCACAAAAGATGTCATTTAAATACTCGCAGTAGTATACACACTAGAACTGTACAAGCAGAAATTTTCAGCACACATGTCAATTTTCATAACGAGACATCACATACATACCATCCATGTTTGTGCTTTGCGGCTACTGATTGGACCACATCTACCATTGCTATCTAGGCTTTTCAAGCCAGATTTCATCGCAGCAAAAGTATTCATAGGGGTTGCTTTCTGTGGTCCAAAGTTAGCTTCCTAAAAAATAGTAAATTTTCAAATGAGATATGAATATACAATAGGCTACTAAGTTCCTAAAAAGACATTAAAGAATATACACATGCATACCAGTACTTGTTGTGTCTCTGTGAATGGTCTAGATCCTCCTCGGTTTTGAGCAATATCTTCATTACTTGAGCGAGAAGTTTGCCCCCTCTTACGTTTTACCTTGTAGTCATCTGAGCACCAATAAGCACAAAGGAGGAGCCACACCTCATCATTCAACCACTCGAGCTTTCCTTGCTTGTATTGCTCATACTCAAGGTCAATACGGCACGCTACTGCATCTTTGATTTCTATGTGTTTTATTTCCCTGTAGTACTGCTTGACAGCATCCACACGGACTTGATACATCATGTCCTTCACCCTTTTCTTCATAAGGCCTTCTAAAACATAGTCCGCATCTTGCTGATCTCCTGCTGCAACTTGGAACAAACGCTGCATGTGTACAGAACCATGAACATAGGTTTCAGATTGTATAGATTTTAGAAATTTTAAGTTTTAGATGTTGCTCAGAAATTTCAGATTGAACATCTTACCCAAAATTCGGAAACCACATTTTCTCCCCTTGTCATTCCCTTAGCACCAGGATTTTTATGGAAATAATCAGCCCAATCCAGAGCTGGGCGCTTGAATTCATCATCGTTCTCATCCACCTCCACAATCACACCTGGATATTCTCTTCTAAGTATGACCCCAAGCTGAGTAGTGTATTTGTAAGGTGGCGGGTAGTAAATATAATTGAATTGCCTGTAAATAAATATTATACAATAACAGGTCGGCACAAAAGGTTGGCTGCAAGGATTATATGCATATGCTAGTAAAAGGACATCATGTGCAGCTGCTAGTAGATACAAAAAACTGCACACTTAACTGAGACAATGATAGATTGCTATGTAAAGAAGAATCAAGCCAACAAATTACTAGCACCAAAGATCAGGAGCCAAAGAACCAAAATGTTCAGCATTGGAATAATCGAAAGTTGATGCTGCTGTAGCAAGAAATGGCATTTCACAAAATAAAAACATTGCATGCCAAGCTACTGCTCTCAATCAAATTGCATAGTGCAAACCTGAAACTAAACAACACACTGAACTAGCGTAAATATGTTCTGTTGCCTTTGTGGACAGCGAGATATTGACATACTTTCAGAAATTAGTAAAACAGAGTACTAATAAGCCAATAAGATTAGCATGCACTCACTCGTCACCACTTGGTTTAAGAGCCACTTTAACACCACATGGAGGTTGTTTAAATTTTGTTCGGGACCCTGGCTTCCTTCCTCTTTTTTTGGGTGGCTCTGTTGGGGGAGCTTCAATAACTGTTGTCGTTTGTGAGGCATCGC